AGCACCTTGTAAAACCGGGGCGAGTAGCCATCTGGGCCCGCACATTTACCCGTCTTCAAGGTTCGGATCGCCACGTCTACCTCAGATTGGGAAAAAGGAGACTCCAGTTCCAGTGAAACAGTGCGCTCTATGGTCGGTAATGCAGTTTGTGTGATGTAGTGTGTCAGAGAGTCGGGGTCATTTCCGGCTAACCTGTCTTGGGGTGGGGCAGGAAGGTTGTATAGACCTGAGTAATATCTACGAAATTCACTTGCAATGCTCTGGGTGGAGTGAAGTTTAGAAGACTGACGGTCCAGGATATAAGGGATAAAGGCCCGTGGGGGCCGGGGATGTAACGTTCTAACCAGGTGACGTCCACATTTGTTAGCAGATTCGTATCTTACTTTACAAGCCCTGTCTCGTGCAATGCGTGAGCTGGAGTCTAAAATAGATAACAGTTCCCGCCGGGCATTTGATAGTTCCACATAAGTGGTATCAAGTCGTGTAGATTTATGTATATCCTCCAGTGTCGCTATAGAAACCAGGAGCTCAGTAACGCGGGTGGCTCTAGCTTTCTTGAGGCGAGATCCGTGTTTTATAAAAATGCCTCGAACTACGCATTTAAGCGCTTCCCATTGGGTCAGCGGGTGAGTAGTGTCACCGGCATGGTCTAACGTAAAATTCCGTATTGAAGCCGTTATCTCGTCTAAGCATAGGGGATTGTTTAACAAGTTGTCATTTAGTCGCCACGAGAAATGTGTGCGTCGAACACTGGGAACACCTAGGGTGAGAAAGACGGGGGCATGGTCAGACCAGATGAGGAGACCAATGTTGGCAGAAGGGGTCGAGTCGAGTAGATGTTGAGCAAGGAACAAATAATCTAGCCTACTGTAAGAGTTGTGGGCCGGAGAGAAATATGTATAATCCCTCTCAGATGCATGGAGGGCCCGCCACACATCCACCAGTCTGAGCTTAAGTAATACATTTCTGATTCTAGTAAGGGACGTGTGAGAGAGATGGGACTTACCGGAAGAAGAGTCCAGACAGGGTACCAGCGAAAGGTTGAAGTCTCCTCCCAGGATCAGGTTAGGACACCCAAAATTCTCCAGAGCCGTGACTACGCGTGTGAGGAAGGTCAGTTGGTCCTGGTTTGGAAAATAGACATTAGCCAGAGTATAGACATGGTCATACATTTTAACTTTCAGGAAGAGGAATCTACCGAGAGGGTCCGCTTGCTGTTGCAGGATCTCGGGATGTAGAGTCTTGTGAAAGGCGATAGAAACACCTTTGGCCCGTGAGATAGAATTAGTGCTGTGATACCAATCAGGATAATACTTAGTTGGTATTCTGGGGATGGTATCACTCCGGAAATGAGTTTCCTGCAAGAACAATACCCCCACCTTGTGTTTATGAAAATGATAGAGCACCTGACTGCGTTTCTGGGGGGTGTTAAAGCCTCTCACATTGTGGGTCGCCAAAGCAACATGGGGGGTAATCATCATGGGTGCCTAAAGAGCTCTGATACGGCTATGTGTACCTCTCCCGGGGTAAGGAAGGGAAGGGGGAGGGAGGGAACCAGGAAAGGGGAGACAGAGAAGCAGATAGAGGAAAGAAGGAAAAAAGGATATATAAGAAAATAAGCGCTCTCCCGCCACCAAGTGGCGTATGGAGAGAATGACATCTTAGTGAACCAACGCATGGTCCGGTAAACCCTACAGGTGTGCAAAATGTCAGCGAGCACACTCACTGACGACCTAAGTGAGGGTAACGTGGAAAGCACAGGTGGCTTCTCCCGCTCCAGGGCACATGGACAAAGTACAAACATGGTAACTAAAGGGTATAAGAAAAACAAAGAAAATTATGGCATATTAAACTAGCTTCATTAAGTATACTATCATAAGAACAACATGAAACAGTATGAACGACAGCAGCGATCGTGGTTAACAACCACGGCAAACATCCCAGGTGGGGCACCGGGCATCACTCGGTGTGCGGAAGGAGGCATTCACCCTCTCAAAAAAATGTATCATCCGAGACATCGAGGTTGGAGGTGAGTTTAGGCGAGTGGGCTAACAGTCAGGTGTTAGAAGACGACAAGGCCAGCGCTCGCCCGGTTGATCTTCTCGATTTCTGCATCCACGCTGGTGGGGATACAAAGCCGGGCAGGGTAGGTTTAAGTGGCCAGTCCGGTAGTGAGACTTGAGGGAGTTCCAGCTTGCCCAGGAAAGATGGGAGGTCACCCATTGAGCAGAAAACAGCCGATTTGCCTTCATGTACAACTATAAGTTGGAAGGGGAAACCCCATCTTGATTTGATGTTGCGGTGGCGTAGCAGGTCGAGTAGGGGACGCAGAGCCCTGCAAAGAGTAAGCGTGTGACCTGATAGATCCGGCAATAGCAGTATTGGGGAGTCATTGAATACGATGGCGTCTTGTGTGCGAGCTGCTCTCATGATGTCGTCTTTAAGTTTGAAGAAGTGGATCCTGCATATAACATCTCTGGGGTTGGAGCGGTCAGGACGTTTAGCCCCTAATGTTCTATGGATCCTGTCTATTTCAATAGGGGTGTCCTTAGGCTTATTCAGGATCTGATTGAAGAGAGTGATTGCAGCATCTTCCAGGTCCCTGGGTTCCACAGACTCAGGGAGACCTCTGATGCGTACGTTATTGCATCGGTTCCTGTTCTCTTGATCATCCTGCTGATAAATCAGTTGATGCAGTAACACTGTGTGCTCTTGCAAGGTGGCATCGTGCACATGCAGCCGGGCTCTCAAATCAGAGGAAGTTTGTTCAACATCTTCTAATCTGGTGCTTATGTCTTTTTTTAAGGTGGACATTTCCTTTTTATATGTGGCTTCAAATCGTGAAAAACAGGATTCAATGTCTTTCATAGTTGGCAGGGCTTTAATGTATGCTTCCATGTCCCAACCTCCGTGAGAGCTGAGGGAGGCCTGAGAGCTGCTTCTGGAGCGGTGGGACAAACCCCCTGGGCTATGTGGAGAGATTCTCTCCTGTGGCTGGCTCCCCTGCTGCAAGGTATGATCTGCTGGGGCCTGGTCAACCCTAATGGGGTAGTGGGCTAGCTTTCCTGAGCCCTGGGGAGAATGTTCCTCATATGGCTGGCTCACCTGTTCCCAGTCTTGAGCCTCAGAGTGCGCGGGAGATAGTTCCGGCGCTGCCATCTTGGATTTGCCTGAGGCCGCAGATGCAGAGGCCGCGGGCGCCGTTCGGGTGAAAAGACTGGTTAATTCCCGCGGCGCGGGACCCGTTCGCTTCTGTTTCTTCCCCTTCTTCTTCTGGTCACTCATTGCCGGTGATGCCCGGGGGAAAGCCGCTGCTGTCTGCAGTATAGTGTGTCCTCGAGCGGGAGACGAGCCGATTCACGTCTCACCGCTCCATGCGCCAAGCCACGCCCCCCTGAATCCTGTTTTGAACCTTGTCACCTGTGAGTCCTCAATCCTGTTTTGAACCTTGTTACCTGCGAGTCCTGAACCCTGTTTGAAGTCCTGTTTCATGTGTCTTTTGTTTGCTGTCCTGAGCCTTGTTGTTGCTATTAGTCTAAGGCAGGGGTCTCAAACCTCCGGCCCTCCAGCTGTGGTGGAACTACAAATCCCATGAGGCATTGCAAGATTCTCACAGCCACGGGCATGTCTCCCGATGAGAGATGCATCATGGGATTTGTAGTTTCACCACAGCTGAAGGGCCGGGGGCTTGAGACCCCTGGTCTAAGGTGTATATTAAACAAACTATACATATCTAACATCCTTGCCTGGTCCGTGTAGCATACTTGCCTTGTCCGTGTGGTCACACGTGTTTGGTCTGCCTGTATGGGTACCTGCGGAGGCGTGGGGTCACCTGTGCCGGTATCTCTGCCAGAACACTGAGCCCCCCACTAGGGTCAGGCTACAGGCTGAGTAGTCCGCCACCAGGATCCGACAGCAACCTCCACAAGCCAGCGGGAATCCCAACACTGAGGAGTCGGGCAGCAGGCCCCGGATCAGCGGAGGCGAAGAGCTGGGCAGCAGGCACCGGATCAACAGAGGCAAAGAGCTGGGCAGCAGGGACCGGATCAGCAGAGATGAGGAGTCGGGCAGCAGGCCCCGGACCAGGTGATGGCTAAGTGCTGGGAGACACCCGCAGGTGAGCACTGGAACTGCAGGGCTAGCTCCAGCACCACCTGGAGGCGCTCTGGAGCCTAACAATTGTACACTCATGTTGCTCTCCATATTGCTATTCACTTGTATACATGCAATAAAGATTCACTCATGATGCCCCCCTTATATTTTCCTCAAATGTGAAGAATACACCTTTTGCACTTTTGCCTGTTGTTCACACATGCAATGTGTCTACATCCATGCGTATTGTACATGCATGTGGCCCCTTAGTAACATTCCACCAATGATTGATTCATTTTCTTCTTGACCCATATAGGTCTTTTATAATTGTATATAGTTGTATCTTTATGTTATCATTGATAATATTGTTATCATTATTACCATTATTATGTTTTTCTTGCCTATCACTATTATGATGCATTCCTGGCAGCAATTTACCACTATTGGTTTCCTCCCTCTAGTTGGTGCCAAAGCACTCAATGCGCCTCCCCTTTCCCCTCCCCCTACATAAAGGACTCTGCCCACTCCACCCTTAGGTTTGACAATGGAGGTGAACCTCTGAAACGCGTTGCCTAGCAACGTCTGACACCTGACGACCTGGAAATACTCAACAGCTGTGATCCCGCCTTGATGAGAACCAGCTACAGCACTGCTGAGCCACTGGATGAGATCTGTGTGTTCTGGGATCTTTCTGGACTGGACTCTGCTCTCTCCATGTGCCGTCTATCCTGATAACAATCTCAGACCAGCAGCTGAGATTGGACTTCCATCTGATGTGTGACATGTGAGATGTTTTCAAATATCCTGTATTACTTTGAACCTTTATTAAACAGTTACTTTTATATTGCACTTAGATCGGTGCGCCAGGTTTTTATGTTTTCTTAAATAATGGTAATACATTTCCTTACCTTTTAGGTCTAGATTACTGGCACCAGTAGAGTGCTGTGTAACTGTCCTTCCATCAATTCTCAAAGTATGTGCATTTCCTGGATCTCTGGAGACGGCAACACTGTGCCACTGGTTATCATTTAACGCTCTCTCTGAGTTACCTTTCATCAAGGATGGACCATTTCCAAGATCAAAGACATAGTGTATATACCTTGAGGTTAAATGCAAAGAGAAACACAGTTAATATTAATGCATGAAGTTTGCATTTGATGCAAGTTTCTGCCCTCTGTTGAACTCACGGAATACCTAATATCCTTATATACAGTATGTGGCAATTAAATGACATAGCATTATCAAACACATATTATTACTGCATGTGGTATTATGATACAAAATCATATATGGATTATTCTAATTAGATATGATGTTAGATATAATACATTTGTAATACTTGCTACCTGTTATTTTGTAGTAACAACATGTGACATTGCTAGAGCACAGACATTTATTTGTTCATCTCAGTACTTGAACATGTATATTATTTATTTTCTTTTCATCAGAGTTACATAAACACACACACAAACAAACAATACCTGAAAACATTCAGAACATTCAGATCCATGTAGGTACATGTTTTATCATATCCAAAACTAAGACCATGGTGCTACTAGGAAATAAGTAGCTCACGTCTCTAAATAATACAGTAAGTAATATGCCTTCCCACTAAAGCAACAGCTTGCACGCAGATTTATCTTAAATTAAACACTGACATTATCCGTACACATTCATTTTAATTGTCCCTAAAGAAGAACTACGGGCAAATCTTTTTATTAACCCTTGCAGTGGGGCTAACCCCGCACTGCAAGAGTTAACTGCTGTTTTTGGTCTAGGGAGAAAAATAAAAAAGTCATACCCAAAACTCCGAGCCAGCTTTCTCTTAGACAAGTCCTTCCAGGCTCGCTCCCCCTCCACTGCAGTAGTCTAAGGTCTCTGAGTCATCATGTTCTATACACAGTGTATAGGACATGAGGATGTCAAGGCACATAGAATAGCTGCCAACCTAAAAGTATTTTGGAATTTAAATGATACCACCTGATCTTGAGGAAGGGATGAAGTTCAAAAAATTGTGCCTGAGGGAGAGCTAAACAGTCTAGTCCCAAAAAATTGTGCCTGAGGGAGACTCTAAACAGTCTAGTCCCAAATGGGCTAAATGAGAGTCTGGAGCTGGCATCATCTCTCTCGTAATTATGTCCTAACAGTACAGCCCATTAAGGTTGCCATAAATATGACTATGGTTCTATCTAATACAATATTTATTTCAAAATACACAATTTTTATTATCCTTAGTAAGCTAGGGTTGTGGTAGAGGTTTCAAGTACAATGTTTTTATACGCACTTTTTCATTTTATATATATATTGTGGCAGAGTAAGCCAATGCCACGGTGTATTATGGCGACTTTGGCACCCAGGACTCTCAGCCAAAGGTTTTTCCTAAATGTAGCTGGGATCTGGAGCTCTGGAGATCTCTTAGAGCTCTGGGTGGGATGAGATCTCCAGTCCTGGGGCCAGGTGTTACCAATGACCAGTATAGCTGGATCAGGTGGCTGAGAGCAGCCTTATTAGGAGTCTGTACCAGAGTTCAGAGGAGAGTTGGAGTTGTGTGTGTGCAGGAGGCACACTGACACAAGCAGACTCAGGTGCGTGCTGGACGCACAAGGAACAGCTGGGGGAGGCTGGGAGATGTCAGGAAGGTCGGTGACCCTAGGACCTGTGGTACACACTAAGAGAGCAGATAGAGGGGTGAGCAGCATGAGTGTCTTAGAGCTGAGGAAAGCTACTAAGGACGGTATGTGTTAAAAGGACGGTATTTGCTAAAGAAGGCCGATTATCATGAAAAGTGCATGAAACGTTGGCCTTTATGTGAACAGGGGAAGGCTACCCCGTGGATAATCAGATACTTTGTGTTTGCCCTAGTAATAAACTGCGTTTTACTTGACTTACCTTGACTAAGGTGGAGTGTCCTTGTTACAATATATATATATATTGATTTGAACTGAATTTTTTTAAAATATACTGTATATTTGTGTATTTTTTTAAATATATAAGTATATGTGTGTATTACATGTTATTTACTATTGTCTCGCAATTCCCATATAGATATAGATGGTTATTAGAGTTAACCTTTTGCTTTTATATGTATTTTACACTACCAATCAATTTTTTTCATATAATCAATGTATAATACATCTTATCAGAACCATTCTTGATGTTTTAAACAAATGTTTTTTAAAGAAGTATTTATGATGGTTGTGACCACTTGTGTCCAATTTGGTATTTGTACAAATGTGCACCATTAGATTGTGCTTATTAGTGTGTTTATAGAATTACACTGTAAATTGATATACTGTACTTTAGTAATGTGCTTGCCATCTTATAGTGGCCGAATATTCACAAACCCTTGTTTATATTATAGTCAGGTGTTGACATGAAGAGAAGGAGCTGTTCTTATTCTTTTTTACATGACATTTGAGGCTTCCCATCCTGTGTTTGAACAGCAGCTCCTTCAAGGTTACTGAATTGAAGTCCGTTTTGGTCCTTCCCTTTTATGATTCATGAGACCACTCGTAAGAGCTGACTTTCTGGTGATACTCTTTGACATCCGTACGATGAGTGGGCCAGTATAAGCACTGAAGAATGTTGCTGGTACATTGTACTCCAGGATGACCAGAAAGTTTAAGAAAGTTTGGAGTCATGTTCCCACTTAAGGAGTTTGGAGTGAAGATTGGGCACCAAAAATGTCTTACCCTGAGGAAGCCAGAGGGCTGGAGATAAGTAGTGGCTAGAACTCACTGAGGAGGAATAATGCGATCAGGGTCAAGGTGACTCTCCAAATCATCAGCATGGGTTTTTTGGCTCCTAGTTGAAAAGAAATATCAAAACTGAACTGAGTAAAGAAGAGAGCCCACCAAGCTTGTCGGAGGCACAACCGATGAGCAGATTGCAGATATTGCAAGTTTTTATGGTCCGTGTAGATGGTAATGTGATGTGGGGAACCCTCTAAATAATGTTGCCACTCTTGTAAAGCAAGTTTAATAACCAGAAGCTGACGAACCCCAATGGTATCGTTTGTTTCAGCAACAAAAAAACCTCTTGAAAAATAATGCACATAGCCAAAACTTGCTCTTACTAGTTTGAAGTAAGATGGTTCCTACTCCTACTATAGAAGTTCCAACCTCCAGGAAAAGAGATTTAGTAATGTCCAAACATTGGAGAATGGGAGAAGAGGAAAAGTTGGCCTTGAGTCTGTGACCAATGGCTTTGGTAGGCCAGGACCTGGCATTGGTGCCTTTACGGGTAAGTAAATAGTGGCCACAAAAATGGAATGGTTACAAATGAACTGCCAATAATAACTGGTGAAACCCAAGAAGCATTGAGTGGCTTTTAGTCTAGAGGGCTGAGGCCAATTGGAGATGTCTTGGAGTTTGGCGGATCCATGAGTAGACCCTGATTCGTAATGATATACCCCCAGGAATGGAACTTCTTTAAAGTGGCACTTCTCCAACTTAGCGTAGAGGCAGTTGTCCCGAAGTTGCTGCTCTACCATCATCACATGGAGGAGATGGGCGTCCAATTTAGGAGAGAAGGTAAAAATGTCAAGGTAAACCATAACACAAGTATGCAAGCAGTTATGGAAGATCTTGTTAACAAAGTTTTGGAAGATGGCTGGGGCATTACATAAGCCCAAGGGCATCACAAGATATTCATTCAATGCCCATCCCTGGTGTTGAAGGCCATTTTCTACTCATCTCCTTCTCAGATCCTAATCAGATTGCCCCTCTATGATCCAACAACTTGAAGACACAGGCACCCCACAGACTGCTAAAGAGTTTGGAAATCAAGGGAAGGGGATACTGATTCTTGACAGTGATGGCATGAAGACCCCTATAATTAATGCACAGTTGAACCATCCTTCTTTTCAACAAAGAAAAATCTGGCTCCAGCAGGCAAGTTGGATTTCTGTTTCAAACCTTACTGCAAGTTCTCCGGGATTTATCAAGATACAGACTCGGCCTGGGCAGGCTAGGTTCTTTGTAGGAGATCAATGGGACAATCATGGGCTTGGTAAGGAGGGAGCTGATTAGCAGCCTTTTTGCAAAAAAACAAACATTGTGGAACCATTACCAAGGAGTATGGGAGTGGTAGAGGTTTCAGTCAGAGGGACAGAGAGGAGCAGCTGCACCTTGCACAGCAATGGTCATGACACTGAGCCCCGAAGACAAAACTTGTCCAAAGGTTCTAATCCAGATGAGGTAATTGTTTTTGCAATCAAAGGAGACCTAGAATGATGGGTCTGGTGGATTTAGGGAGAATTGGGAAGGGGATTTCCTCATGATGCATAACCCCAATGTGCAAAGCAATAGAGGTGGTTTAAAACTGTATA